AAAAGCTTTCCGTCATCAAGAAATGCGTCTTAGCCAGCTTAGAATGGATGAAGCTTATTTATGCCTCACTGTATTCTAGTGGTGCCAACAACAATTGCTTCCCACATATAGACTTTGGTATTTGCATAAATGATCGAAAACGAAATTCCGCACTATAAATGCGTAGCACATACCCTACCTATGTACCTACCTACCTACGACTTAACAATTACACTCTATAATTGTCTCGATCAGCTACAAGTTGGCGGAAAATTATAAATTCGATTAGTCTTGCTTTGGAATAAGCCACGGTTATTATAACGTCTGACTGTGTTTTGAAAATAAGTTGCGCTAGATTACTAGATATCTCAATAGGAATTTCTTTCGTTTGAAATCAGAGACAATTATATTCGCCATATTCGTAGTTCTCTTGGTAGCATTATTACACCTGCACTGCCAAGCATACATTAAACTACCACAGGTAAGACTGCTCACAGTCGGGAGTGTCTGCAAGATAGGCTACCCTACCCAGTGTTTATAGCATTCTCGTAGTGTTCTCTTCAATGCATTCTACTGCGCACTTTATGCAGCTGCTGTGCTTGTTTTTCTATAGACGACATATATTTATATTTATTGAATAACTACGATTCTGAGTGTACGACTTTATAAACATACATATATATATATATATATGTATGTAGTGTCTAGTAGCTTAGTTGAATATGGTATCATATCAATCATCACATCATATGGTCGATGGCTAAATTGTCCTTACAAAATGCATAAACAAATCTAAATGGCAACGCCTCAAGAGCAAAATAAATAGTTCTTCAAGTTACACTTCAAAAGATATAGTTTTAAACTAACTTATAAACATACATATGTATATATAATACGAATAAGATAACAAACTAAAGCAGACCTCAACAACATTGTAAAATGTGTATTACGCAGTTAAGTCTGTTCTTCTGAATGTTTATCTAGAAAGTATCTATATAGGCTAAATCCTATCCGGTTCAGCAATAAAAAATAACGTTTTTATTAGCTTCTTAAGACAAATGTATGAAGCATTAAATTACTATATGTATATTTATCTTAAGAAGATATGTTTTCAAACCAAATATTATATAGGAATATATAGTTTATATAGGAATATATAGTTAAATATAAGTTGTAAATAAATTTGTATGTGCTCATTTTCAAAATGATCAATTTACTTCTCATTAACAGATCATGAATCATGAATTAAGAAATCTTAAGTCTTGAATCATTAACAAATAACCGAATACAGAAGAACATATTAAGATATACAGAAAACTTTTATCAATAACGGATATACATATAGAATGTATACTCAAGAAAGGAGATTATCTTGCTCTTGTCTTCTCTGACTGTTATTAAATTTATCATATAATTTCTGTATATTTGCAGTGATATAGCAAGCTAAATTATATATATATTTATGTATATATATAGTTTGTAATGCGGAGATCCGCTCTTTCCCTTGCTTTGTGATTAATTGAACAGTATGCCATATTTTCAACATATATAAACCATCAAGATGAACAACAATCATAACAATAACTCTATGGACAACACATGCGATCAAGATTATACGGAATTTCTCAATGAATATCTGTTGCACACAAATTTAGCATGCAACGAACCGGAAATACATTACGAAGGTAAGCAAACATCCGATTTTGCAATTCTACATATATTACTGATACACGATATTCTATTTAGATGGAGAAATGGAAGCAGAGTGGTTAATATCAGCTGGATATCCAGAATTGACACGACCCTTTGAACAGGTAAGCAATAAATACTGAAAATAATTTAAAATAAAACAAACATAGCCTTGTTTAAGGTAGATATTAGAGAACAAACTCAGTTCTATATAAATATTTGCCCGACAATTTGTATATTTATGAAATTATTATTGTTAGCGAAAAGCTAGGAGTAGTTTATCTGTGTATATATTATTACTACAGTATTTTCTTTTGCTTTAAATGAAAATGTTTATTTTCAATTTGTTGACTGCCAGCCATCGTATTATATTTCTCATAAAATTCCTATTTATTTCCAGGGCATTGAGCTACGTTCTTCAGATCTTGAGCCAGTGTTAGCCACACTATCAAGACCTCATGCTGAGGCGATTAAGCAGCGCGTGCGAGCGCTAAATCATACGGTCAGAGGACGCAGTAAAAACCGATCAAAACGTAAACCTGACATACGTGACGTCTTTCGCGATTTTGACGTAAATATTAAACTATAAAACTGTCAAAAAATAAATTGAATTAACTATAAATATCGGTTATATTCACAGGAGTCCAGTACGGGAACTAGATCCCGAAGTGCCACACCAGATTCATTGGATTCCGTACACGGTGACGAGGTTTGGGGCAATGCCTCAATGTAAGTTCTCATAGATCTTCCAGTGCATTTCAGTTTATTTCATTATCTCACACTTTGTAGTCCAAGTTTTGTAAACATTTCGGACCACAGTACAGCAAATTATAATGCCAATGCATTTCCTTCGGTAAACAAGCATTTAAAACAAAAAATACGTCGAACTCCAAGTGCTCCGCTAAAAAGTTCCACGTCCACGGATTTGTTTCGCGGCTCGCAAGTGCGTTGCGATATACCCATGTATACATCAGAAGGTATAGAGTTGCTGGGATTTTCGCGTATTGGCACGCTGCACATACCACGTAATCGTTCTGGTTCTGATCCCTCTTGTTCTATTGGGTAAGTATTAATTGAGTGGCCGAAGCTCTTATATATAATTGAATTATTTATTTAACACAATTTAGACGAGTTTGTGGACAAAATATACCGGATTCGCAGAGTGAAAACAATACTTCATCTGGTGATTCCAGCGACGAGTTTCTGCCAAGCACAGCGCCAATGTCTTCGGCGTTGTCCTCACCAGAGAAGATACTAAATAAAATAAACCTGGATTCTACTCAGCAAAAGTTACACAGCAGCTCTCCGTCAGCCAGAGAGGGCATCAGCTTTGAAAATATGTGCCGAGAAAATTCTAGTCAGGATGGCATTGACACGGTAGACAGCAGCAATGTCATCTTACAAGAATACACCTCCGACATCAGTACAATAAGTGAAACGGAGCTGAAACGTTTACAGCCAATATTTTGGCTAGAGCTAGCCACAGTCTTTGATCGCAATCAGGTTTCGCTAGACAAGCGAAAACCATTCAAGAGACGTCGCAAAGAGGAGGGCAGTCTGTTTGGAGTTTCATTAAATGCACTTATACGGCGTGACCAGCAAATATCTGGCATGGACTCAACATTAGTACCTCGATTTCTCGAGGGTCTACTGGAAGAGCTAATTAAGCGAGGGGCACGGGAGGAGGGTATTTTGCGTGTGGCTGGACAAAAACATAAGGTGATTAAAATAGTGATTCTAATATCGGCTTTAATGAATACTAATCATTTTTGTTGGTATATTTGCAGACTGAATTAATTTACAACGAATTAGAATCAAGTTTTTATCAAAAGCCAGAAAAATTCGCACAATTGCTTAGCAATGCAAGCGTACATGAACTGAGTGCATTGCTTAAGCGTTGGTTACGCGAACTGCCCCAGCCATTGCTAACAAGCGAACTTATACAACTTTTCTATCAATGTCACACTTTACCCCCAGCGGACCAAATACGTGCATTATCTATTTTATGCCAGATGCTTCCACACGAAAACCGCAACACTCTGCGTTCCATTTTACGCTTTCTCAACATAATTATCGATTTGAAAGATTTCAATAAGATGAATTTACATAATGTATCCACGATAATTGCCCCATCATTTTTTCCGCCACGCTATATACATCCGATCGATAAGAATTGCATTGCAGAGCAAGTTAAAATGGCTGCATTGTGCTGTCGCTTAACGAACGTTCTGATTACGCGGGGCGAGAGCTTGTTTCAGGTTTCTGATAATCTCATTGCGGAGTCACGTAACCAAAAAGTTCGTCAGGTAAGCGATCTAGAGAAGCTTCAATTTTTGGCTATCATTAATCTAAATTCTTTTATCTTAGGGTAAACGTGGTCATCGACGGGCAGTTAAAACTCCTTTAGTCCATGCGAGAGCGACGCCTGGTCCTACTACTGAAATTGATATTTCTAGGAATAGCAATAGCGAGGGTCATCGCCCGTCCTTTAATCCAAGTCATGTGCATCGATTCGTGGTCTAAGCTGAAGCGGAAAGGTCAACGCGTGCTACGTCTGTTTCAAGTTTCTTTTTTTTATAACTAATATTGAATATGCTACTGTAAGTCGGTATTACATTGCTTACATTAGTTCTACACAAATTTCTTCAGAAAGGTCAAGTTTATTTTGAATACTATGAAAATGTTCAGTATCTATGAATTGAATACTAAAATTATTATTTTTTTAAGTTTGACTCAGAATTAATTAATCTTCTATCCTTAATATAATGTGTCACGAAAATAATTCATTAATTATGTTCAAATAATTATGGTTATGTTGTTATGAGAATTGTATTATTTTTTCTAAAACTGTTAAAAGGGTTGGGAAGCAATAAAAAACATTTAATTTGATTTTATCAAAATCAATAAAAATATATGTATATATTTGACAAATATTGTCTTGATACTCCGAATTCTTTTTTATGAGCCTGTAATCCCTTTTATTGGATCATTTGAAAGTAATAATAGATTAGAAATTTGAAAACCACGAGAGAAGAATTTTTTAGTGATATGGCAATTTGAAAACTTCCTACCGGAGATGGAGCTTTAGTAACTGTCTTAAATAATTTCCTTAGCGTAACGCATTTTTTAATAACTATTTTTATATGGTTGAGCCATTGATACCTCTGAAATCGATTAATAAAAACTAAACTGGCTGACTATCTTTAAGAAGAACCCATAAAACGATGCATCAAATAGAAATTAACGCAACTCCTAATGAATTGGTATCGGTAAACGCAACCATCGATACCATCGATTATTTCTATATGATATTTTTACAGCCATAGTGTCATCAGCAATTCTATTTTGCTTTCGTCAACAAATTGCTTGAATATTCCATAAGGAAAACAATTTTCGGCTTAATATGAGAATGTTTAAAAACAAAAAGGGTTGTTAATAGCAATTCTAAACAATTGTAAACGAAATGGACGTGGACGACAGTTTTTATGGTGAGTTTTCGTCAGTTTTTGATAAAACTTCGTTCAATGAAATGCTACACACTGACACCATTCACCTGTAATAAATACAAATTCGTATTTAATCAGGTTAGCGTGGGAAACATGAATCAATGTATTAAAGATATGGAACACATGTACATTCAATAATGGTGTTGTTTTACATTAATGGGCCGCTTGATTTAAAAGTTATGTTGTTTTTTTTTTTTTTTTTGTGTGTCAGTTCATTGATTTTACTTTTATTGATAACTTAAAATTATAGATAACATTAAAATGTGATAACATTCTAAAACCTTGGTCGATCCAGTTCGTAAGCAACGTGTGTAAACGCAATGACAAATACTACTACGTATCATGAAATACACACCTACAAATGCAGATGCATTCAATACATTGATTACAGTTACCTACATACATATAGGTACATATGTATATGTGCATGAATATGCATTTTGGTTGATAAACAAAAATATCGGCACACATCTAATTTGCGTTCTATGACAATTTGAATAGCAATTTTAAATATTTTTATAAATTCAATTATAGCGTGAAATGAACCGGCGAAATTATCGATTTTCTTGATTTGCCATTAGTGAGTGGGCGTAGTTAAGTAAGGCTTCATTAGTGTTTTATGGGCATACATATGTCAGTATGTATGTATACCCTAAGTACACAGAATAAGTTCACGTGGAAATACATACTATATGCATGTATTAAGACTTGGCTATGTATAATTTTCATTTACAATGCAAAATAAACAATTTACAAAATGTCGTTATATCTGTTTACAACTTTTTTATGTTTTTATGGATTTTTAAAATTAATATAATACAATTTTTATATTTTAGACGAACTGTCGTCCTTTATGTCATCTCCAAGTGACTATGACATAAATCATGATTTTGACGAGATTATAAGCTCAACTGTCTCGCACCTGGATTCTTCTTTGGATTTGAATACTTTCCTGCCGCAAGACCGTGGCACTTCACTGAACAACGATAATCTGTTCTCCGATTTGTTTCAGTCGACAACAGATAGCCATAATGATTTGGAGCTTAACTTTGACAACTTATCGACGACAACAACACAGAGTTGGAATGTCGATCGAACATCGTTGGCATCCTCAATGGATGCTTCCAGCAATTTGATCAATATTTGTGAAGATAATGCAGAAATTGAGAAATTAACCAGCGGCAATCTGTTGGAGCACATTCAAGATCGCGATACTCCCTCGCCAACGGACAGTTGCGGCAGCTTTAGTGGCAGTTCAACAAGTGGCGTCCACAGCGACACCTCCGATGCGTGGCAGAACAGGCAACAAGAACAAAGTCATATGGCGCCTGCCTCATTTAATATGGCGCAGTTTCCAACGCCATTTGCGCAAAGCTTTACCAATCGAAACGAAGACAGTATTCAAAAGAGTTTGCAAAAGCCACAATTTGTAGCATCAGTTCTCAATAATCAGGAGATTATTGGCAAGTCCGCGAACAACTCGGCTGTGGTTTTGCAAACAACTTTGGAGGTGAAAAGTACACCAGTCGTCACAGGGCAGATTCCTGTCAATGTGAATGCGAGCCTCGCTACCAAAGCTCAGAAGCCGACTCGAGAAAAGATTACAGCTGAGGTAGCAACAGAGAACGTCGGCAAAACTAAAACCATATTCCTCTCTACAAATGACTATAAGGCGCTCATGGATAAGATTAACTTGAATGGTTCAAAGGGCGCAAAGATCAATGGCAGTGTCAAAACACATATACCAAAGATCGTAATGAAGACAGGAAATCCTAAAATAAAAGGCCATCAAAATGTTGTTGACGCCTCCACATGTCCGACTCTCACACTAAGCCCGTCCAACATTGTCAAGCATCAGAGTCAACTTCCGCACTCCAACTTAAAACGGGAAACCTCCATGGAGTCAGAATCATCGAATTTCCATTTCAGAAACACAATAGACGAGAAGATGTTCAAGAAACAGCAGCGAATGATTAAAAATCGGCAATCGGCGTCAATGTCACGCAAGAAGAAGAAGGAGTATGTCGTCTCATTGGAAACGCGTTTGCATAACCTGGAGAAGGAAAATCATACACTAAAAGGGGTAAGCCCTGGCTCTCTCTCTGTATATTACTTTCAGAAGTTAACCAATGTCTTTCATTACAGGAAAACTTGTCCCTACGCAACCAGCTTGTTGCTTTAGCCAAAACATGCAAGTGCCGCAAGGGTAGTGTATGTGAGTTTGTATTGCATTCGTTGAACTCCAATGCGCGAACTGATCAACACGTTAAGATCGCTCCGAGGCCAACTACCAAAAGCTTTAAACAGCATATGAATGCTGCGACGGTTAAGAAAAATATCGCCGTGCTGTTTGCGATGGCTTTCATGGTCACATTGAATGCCGGAAACTTTCAATCATATCTAAGCAATCAAAATCTGGAGGCAGAAAATACAGCCGCCGCCGTCACGAGCGACTCGAATGTGAACGAGCCCGTTCCGATAAGCCGTCGTCTGCTTTGGGTCGATACGGAAGAAGAGTACAACGAAAAGCTGAACCAAAGCAATCGTCCAGCTGAGGCAATAGCTCCTCCACCATTACACTTTCTACGGCCGATTAGTCGTGGCCCCAATGTTACGAAAAACGACCATTGGAAGGCCACACAGCCGTCTCGGTTTAATAGAGCCAATGATCCGCCACCCTTGACCTACCCATCATCAGCTAAATGTAATGGTTCTTGTGCTAACTCTAGTGTCAACCAATCGGAATACTCGCGCTTGGCATTGAATTTGGAAAAACTGATAAATACGAGTGGATATCACAAATTGGGCATGAATTCGAAATATAACATTGACCGGGATAACGCAGATGGCTTTAAGTTTTCGACAGACTATTTGGAATTACCTGATATGGCAAGAGAGGCTGCGACACTTGGCAAACGTAAAAGCTTTTTGGGCTTTAAGGAAACCATACCGGACATTGAACAGAAGCAACGGAAAATTGATTTAAATGGCAAAAACACTCTTAACACAAGCGAACCGATTCATCTATTCAAGGCTATCAAACGACAAGAGGATACATTTTATGTACTTTCATTGAATACAGATCATATACTTCTATCACCTTCCACATACAACAAGAGCTCTCGTCCCAAAATGTCGTTGTTGCTGCCAACAGCTGAACCGTCGCCGAATGGCAACATTATGATGATGCAAGTCGACTGTGAGATATTTAATACAAAGGAGGTGGAGCTTAAATCTCACATGATACCGGCCAGTCTTCGGCCGAATATAACGAAGTGGCAGATTAAAGCAAAGCCCGCCTCCATTAATGCCAACAACAACAACAACAGGACGCTGGGCAGCAGCAAGTTTCTCGACAGGTCGATAAAACACGAGAAGCCGCGGGTACGAACATACTTCATGGTTGGACCCAAAAACCAAGCAGCTGCAGCTGCCTCACAGGAAAAGCCACGATTAGTGGAGCTCAACAAAAGTATGGTTAATAATAATAGTAAGGTACTCACAGCTGACTTTGATTCACGTTTGCATGACTAATCCATTTATATATATATATCCGGGATTGAGTCTTGGTTTATTTCATATTTCAAATGTTTAATGTAATTTTATATGTGTGCAAGTTAATAAATAAATATAAAAAAGTCTAGCGACTACCAGTAAATCATTTTACTTATTAAATGAAGCGGTCACTGATAGCTCCAATTGTTATTTGTGTAGACAGATTAGAGCTTACAAATCAAGAGTAATTTGGTTTGAACATGTAAATATATTCTTAATATAAAAATATTGTATTTCCATAGCCAGCGGCATTTTAAATTTATCGATAAGTTTTATATAGATCATTTTAATTTTCGCACCTTTTTTCTCTATATGAATCGAAAACAATGTAGGTTATCGATATCCGAAAAAATGTCCCCAGCATATGCAATTTTTTTTTTGTCAGCTTGCAATTAATTTTGTATGCTTTATTTCTAAATAATTTTTACAATTAAAAAAGTTATCAAATATTCAAGAAATAGTAACAATGGCCAACAAAATTATATTAAATTGATAAAAAGGTAAAATATTAAAAGGAAACAAATTAACATATATTTGTTAAACAAAAATTCAAAAAGTATATTTTATTTTGTTAAGTATTGAAATATGTCAAATACACTGTGCTGCCTATCGATAAGTCAAGCATTAAACGCAGTTAGTGGAAACATATGTCGAATCAACACTGTGAAAACAAACTCGTTCCATTTTGACTAACTAGTTCGGTTTGTTGTGACAAAACTCAAAATGATAATTTAATTTTATCTTATCATTTAATTTAAAAGAAACCAGAAAGCTTGTTGTCGAATGCCATTGATTTGTGAGTGAATAAATGTAAGTGTGATAATAAATTAATAATATACCATGTGTGCAATTTTCGCACACCTAACATCCATGCTGGGACACATACACACATGGACTTACGTACATATGAATGTGTTTGTGTGTGCGTGTATTACTTAAAAGTGTACCAAAATAATTATTGAATGCACGCCGCCGTCAATACGTCTGTTTTTTTTTTCTTTTGGCGGATTTCATTATTGCAAACATATAAATAATTGCTAAGTTGTGCTCATATAATATTTAATATGCGATATACGTAAAAGTTGGCATTTCTATCTATTGTTACTTCAATAGCAATTAAATCGAATTTAAATTGCCCACGGCATAGGTGAGATTATGGAGGATATTTCTTCAAAGGATACTCAATGCCGTGTTTATATGGTTTGCATAACTGTGCCATTTTGTTTTAGCGTTCGGCGCGAAAATCGGTACAATGATAGAATGTAGATTTATTAAGTATGTGTATGGATCCAACATTTTAGTCGTCATTAGGGTGTACTAGTCAATCATATTACTTCTTCATTTATGGTAATACGCTTCTGAAGTTAAAGTTCATTAAACGAAACATGGTACTACTCAAAGTAAATGATTATTAGAGTATAGAATACATATTTGAAATTAGCATAGGGATTGGAAATAGACAGAGACATAGCTAAGTCGATTCAATTGAATTAAGTACGGCCTTTAATAAATTGTATAGTATTGTTTTAAATTCTTAAACAATATCAAATAATTTACATATGTATTCTCTTTTAGAATTAACAAAATGTCGGTACATTATAAATTTAAAAGTACCCTTAATTTTGATACAATAACATTTGATGGACTTCATATCTCGGTTGCTGATTTGAAACGGGAAATCATATTACAGAAACGACTTGGTAAAATCATAGATTTTGATTTGCAAATCACCAATGCCCAAACTAAAGAAGGTAAATCTTAACTTACACTGCATTCTATATTCGGTTATTAATATTTTGTTTTTATAGAATATAAGGATGACAATTTTTTAATACCAAAAAATACTACGCTAATTGTTGCGCGAATACCGATAGCGCATCCCGTTAAAAAGGGCTGGGATCCTCCACCTGACAATGCTATCCCCAATGTGTCCTCAAGCAAACCAGAAAATCTTAATATGGATCTATTTAAAATGCAAGGAAGTGAAGAAGAGAAAATACAAGCTATGATGATGCAAAGCACAGCAGATTATGATCCGAAAACGTAAGTATTTTAGGGAAAGAAGATGAAATATAAAAGTATTATTTTCTTAAGTATTAATTTAGCAATCTAGCCTTAAGAGTAGTGCTTGTTTTCCTTATGTACAACACTGTATATTAATTATATTGGTATATATTTATATAGGTATCACAGAATTAAGGGACAGTCTCAAATTGGCGAAGTTCCTGCCTCCTATAGATGCAATAAATGTAAAAGGGGTGGACACTGGATTAAAAACTGTTCCTTTGCATCTGGAAAGGAGCAATTTGAAGTCAAGAGAAATACAGGAATTCCACGATCATTTAGAGGCAAGCCAGAAATGTAAGTAATATTCTGAGTTACGGAAATGATAATATCATCATGTTTACATCATTCATTACCAAACTCGATTTTCAATTTATTTTTTAATTATACATCTATTAAAAGTTATTCGTCTTTTTATTTACAGCACAACAGAACCAGAAACATCTAATTTTGTAGCATCTAATGAGAAAGAACAAGAGATTCCAGAAGATTTAATTTGTGGCATTTGCCGGAATATTTTTGTTGATGCCGTAATGATACCGTGTTGTGGCAGTTCCTTTTGCGATGATTGTAAGTATAAAATGATTAAGGCTTTATATTGATTTATATATTGAATCAGAATTTGATAACCTTTATATCATTTTCTTTCAGGCGTTCGAAACTCACTGCTAGAATCGGAAGACAGTGAATGTCCAGACTGTAAGGAAAAGAACTGTTCACCAGGATCATTGATTCCAAATCGTTTCTTAAGGAATTCTGTCAATGTTTATAAAAATGAAACTGGAAATAAACTGGCGGCATTTAAACCTGGTAAGATATAAAATGATAATATGATATATTAAATTAACAAAATGCTCAAATTATTTATACTTATGATGTTTTTAATACTAATAATTAATAATTGTCATTTTCAGTTACTAAACCGAGTACGACTACTGAGAAAAAAGAAAATGTTACTCGGGAAGCAGAGGACTCGAATAATCACGCGGAGCAAGTGGAACAAAGTAATGTGCCTCCAGCTGATAATACAGAAGAAGACAGTGCTGACAAAGCTGCTCTCTCAAATGCGGAAGCATCTAAAAGAGACAAAGATAAATCCGACTCGGACTACGAGGATAATATAACAATAAAAATGCCACACAAGGAAATTGATAATAATTTCGTCAGTGCTGATAACAATAAAGAGCAGGTGAGCAAATTATATCTATATGGTCTTATAGGCAATCAATTAAGAAGTCAAGATATGGCTATGTGTAAACCTTGTGTATATATAAGTGTTAAATATTAACTTACTTCTTATATTCTATATCTTTTTAGGTGCACCCTTCGTACCAGCAAATACCAGCTACCAACAATGCAATTCAGCGACGGGAGGGCAACTATGAATATAAATCGGATATTGAAATGAAACAAGTTCCATATGCTAAAAATGATAGCATCAAGCCTCAAAATGAACGAAGTTTGTTGCCAACTCCGGTTGGGACTCATCACAAATATGCGAACATGAATATCAATGATCAAAGGGATAAACCTGTAGTCAATGCCGATCAAGGTCACCGCATGGGCCATTATAAGCCACCGTATATTCAACAAATGCCCCGATGCCCCACAATCATACACATGCCTCCCTACAACAATGGCTATAATAATATGCAACATAGGCCGCCAATGAGGTAAGCCCACTGATCATTTCTTGCCTTTCACTTTAATAGCAAAGCTTTAGCTGTATGATTGATGGCATTAACTATCAAATGTGTGCCACTATTCATATAACACAGAAGCCGACTTAGCTGACCTCGTATATTATCTATAAATTATAAATTACATTAAGGGTCGACCGTCCAACAGTCTGTCTGTTTGTGTATTAACTCTTTAAAGATTTACTTTTTCCTTCAGGTGATTAATATCGCAAAGCGGTTGTAAGCATTATCGATATAACTTCATAACTTGTTTGATTCATAGCGAGCTCTAGTATCCACGACATGCAATTTGCAACATGCAACCTGCAGTTGTTAAGGTGACAATGACGAATGATTCGCATATTAAAGGGAAGACTCGCAAGCAGCAAGCGCATTTCATAGTGTTTCTTTTTTGTATTTAATACACAAAGTGAAAAGTCACATAAATAATAAAAATAATCTCTGAGACAGCAGCAAACTTAAAGACAAATATGATTTTATAGAAAAAATTGATTAAAATATAAAAAAAAGTGGTGCTCTTGCTGCATTAGATGCTGAATATACATTTAAGATAATTGATGAATTATGTAAATATTAGCGAGTAATCAAATTTAAATTGTACAAATTATTTAAAAGTATAGTTTTGTATTGCCATTTAGCAAAGATAATAAATATATGCCGATGTCATTAAAATTTGTTCTTAACTTAAAATCAAAAACTTATTTATTGTGTATCTTATAAAAGAATATTTTCCAAAATTTAAGGGTCAATCAAATCTATTAAAATTTAATTTAAAACTCCTCATTGTGATTGATTTTTAATTAATTGTAAAATAAATATAAAAAAGGATTTAAATATATATAACAAAAAATAAATAAATAAATAAAAAACAGTACTTTGTATAATATAAAAATTAAATTTGTATTTTTGAAAGTTATTGTTATCAATATTATGTACCAATCCATATGTTGTTAAAATTACTCTATTATATAAATAAACAAAATAAATAAAATAAGAAATATTTATTGATAATATTACGAAATACTTTTTTACAGCTTTCCACATTATCCAAGCCAGCCTGTGCATCCTATGAATCCATCATATATTCCACCTGGCAACATCAATATCAATCCGTCGCAAACATTTCAGTCATCTAATTTGGCCTCAATTTACCAAGGAGTCGCGGCTAAAGTTGGCACTGGGTAAGTGCAGTGTTTCCCTAACATTTTAAATAATCTACTTAAGTTATTCACACTCCTGTAATGGGAGACCTGAGCCCATA